AATTCAAGTCTGGTTTCGCCGTGCTCTCCTACGACAAGAATCTCGGCAATACAAATATGACCCAATTCTAGAAAAGGTTTTCAACGAGATGGTAGATTTTTGCAAGAATGAACTTATTTGGAAATTTGCTGTTGAGAGGAAAGGGAAAAAAAGAGTGAACAAATATCATATTCTATTGAGAGGTCTGATCGTAAAAAAAATTGTGGACCTGACTAAGCTGCAAGGAAAAATGGATGTTACAAAGGTAAACTTGCAAAAAGCAATCAACAATCGCAATTCGGATGATGAAAAAATTGACGAATGTTTGGAGTTACAGGACGAATTAAAGTTCGTGTCTATTTGCGTATTTCGTTCCTTTAGCATCAAACTCATTTTTATTCTTTTTTAGATATGCCCACTATGAAAATGTCAAGATGGCGCTGGATTCATTGTCGATATCAGAGAATGCAGAAAAACATCAAGAAGCAAACTTTGAATGGCTGAAAACCCAATCGCAAACGGCGGATGAAACCCTAAAGGGGGTCTATGAGTGGATGAATAAATGCAAAGATGCTATTAAAAAATGAATTCCAAATATTTTTCTGATTCAACGAATTATTTATTGTATAAAAAAAATTGATTTTATGCAGTATATAACAATACAGTCCTTTTGGGGGGGGGGGGACGTATCATTTCAATAAATTAAATGTAAATATTCAAAGGAAAAATAATCTTCGCTCGTTCAAAGTTTTTCATGGGCCATATACTCGTTGAAATTAGATACTAGCAAGATGGACCATCGTTTCGTTATGAACATCTTGTTTGTATTCACCAATAATTAACATTTGCGGTTTACCTATGTGCTTGCTGGAAACTGAGGACTATTTAAATTACTGCATTCATTTAGCATTAACAAAAATTGTTGATTTCTTTATGAGATTCTGAAAGAACTTCAAGGATGTGATTTTGTTCCCAACATTATTGGACGTGGAAGTCTGGATGAGGATACAAAGCAAGGCTAGTATTAGATTGGTGACCTGTTAGTTCATCCTTTGGTCAGTCCAGTTTTTCTAACACCATTTGGAGAAAATCTTAAACATATTATATCTGTCATTGTGAAGGACTTTCGAGATATTGCTAGGTCTCTTCAGTTTGTCCTAGAGCGCGGGATATTGCATCGTGATGTCTCTTATAACAATATTATCATTTTAATGATCAAGATTGTCTTAATGAATGGCATATAGCTTCTGACACCTATACTGTTTGAAAGAGAATTAACAGGGACGACGTTGCTGTTTTGTTCACTCAGGCTAAATCATATTACGTAACTACATTATGATTTCATTCTAATTTCGAATTCGAATACAAAACTCAAGATAATATCAAACATTATTTTTTGTATTTAGCTTGTGATAAGATACTTTTAAGGCTGTGGTATGTCAATAATAGCACTTGAAGCTACGAGATCAGTTAAATTAAAAATATCGCTCATGCCTCTCAATAATCATTAAGGACACGTTAATATCGATAACGTTATTTAATTTTTGTAAAGAACCTTAAAGATTTAGATAGGTGATCTTTATACTGGAAAAGGTTTACGTTAAGTCTTTATGTACAGTATATTACATATTTTACTTTTTGCTTTGTGTTTTGTATTCACAATTACGGTGATTTTACATTTTCAATGAATACGTAAATAATAAAAGTTGTTTCTTTTAAAGATATAACCACGTATCTTACAAACATAACATGTATCACTTACTGTATTAGTATGACAATTTATAAAGCAACCTCGTTGATGAAGAAATAAAAGGAGGAGTTTAGAGTTGATTTGAGATCATTACACAGTTCAAAGGAAATTACTAACGAGGTAAAATGGACATTTTCTAAAATGAACTTTTTTTTGCTAAAGTAAATTGTGGATTGTGGAAATGATGGCATGTACTCGTATGCATATTAATTTTATAATAACATTTAGAATAAGGGATGTCTTACACAAAAAAACCAGTTAATCCTTTAGTTCAACTGTTTTTATCATGGATTTAACGTTAACGCGCGTAATGATAATCAGAGCGAACAAAAGTCATTTCAATTTCTTTGTACAGTCGCTTCCCGAAAAGTTTCAGAATAGATTTTTCTAGTTTTATATAATAATTTTTAAAAGATACTTCAGCTTCCAGCTACAATCATGTGCAATCAGAATTTTGTAAATACGTTTGTTTTTATTATTTCTTAATGAGAAAAGAATTAACTATCGGCAAACTCTTAACCCTTTCAAATTAGACAATCTTATGATGAAAGAAATCATAGCTGGCCATGAAAAATTTCTTTTAACTGTATAACGATCTCAAAAACCGTGGTTTAAAGTTAGCATTGCATAAGAATGGAATAAAATTCAAACTAAATTGTAGATAAATTGTTAGATACAGTTTAAATAAAGGTTCTGGAAGCGGCCGTATTATTTCTTTTACTATTTTATACATACATGTATGGCAAAACTTTACCGTTACAGTGGTACGTGTATTGATTATTTAAAAAATAAAATTTCGGATTTATTTTATTTATGTCTTATGTATATAAAAATATTTTTTACCACTAGGCTAATACATTATTAGCTCTTCATATGGCTCTAATATTGCTTTGATTTCTCAAGGCATTGAGCCTACAACCTCCTCAAAAGCAAACACATCAGTCAAAACATGTTTCAACTTTGTCAATTCTAATACCACTTTACCTTTGATAGTGGTATGAATTTATTGGTAACAAGCATTTTGTGAATCTCTAGCAGTCGCTCATCGTCCATCTGATCACTGTAAAATTTGTTCTCAGTGGATTTTCATCTTCAAAGATCTTTGGCATTATTATGTCGTTTCTGCCAATCTGCCGAACAGCACAACGGGAACATTGTTCAACCGTGTAAACTTGATGGAGGATCTTGAGGTATTCTAATCTTTGTCGGTAGTGACAGCCCAAACTTTCACAAGTTGCATAAGCATATAACTACGGACAGAAAATCCGTAGTCAATCTGCCAGAGGAGATTCTAAATATGACATGTCTTTTATCGCGTCTTCACTTATTAGGATATCCCATGGTCCAAGTTTATCATTCTCATCAAACTCAAATGGAAGGTGAAAAATCATTATTTGTTAGTTCTTCTTCCTTCATGAGTGAAGAGTATTTATCAGGAGAAAAACGAAAAATTGCTTTCTTCTGACAGCTTGGGCAGGGCGAAATTTCATCAAAACCTATAGAAAGAGGCATTAATTATATTGTTTAGAAACAAAAAAATATAACCAAATTTACCTTATATGAATCTATTTTTCGCTGTTTAAACGCTTGCACATAATGATATATATATCCATGACCTTTGCGGCGCTGACATTCCCAACAGCGAGAAGTGTCGTTCATCGTTGTCGCACAGAATTGGTAGCAATTAATGCTCAACAATCTGGTAATTTTTGAATTACAAGTTTTGTATACAGAAAAAGCCTCCGATAGACGACTCTTCCAATAATTGGGAAAGGTAAGTTTTCAAGGTGGGTATATACGAAGCGAAAGAATTGCACGGCAGTTCCGACAGTTCATCGGCGAAATCTTTAAGCTCACGACTCGATGCAGTGTGGTATCTTTTTATTAAAGCGTGCAGTTTCTTTTCATCGTTTTCAGAGTCCGCGAGATCTTCGAACAATTCAATAAGGGGATTGTCGTCCATTAAGACAGTTGCTAGGAATGCGTTAAAGTTCTATTTTTTAGAAAAGACGTATAATGCAAGGTATTTTCTCACATTAACGTCACACTAAATGTTAGGCCGCAGCATCCTTGCCAAAAGCCATATTCTCTGATATGTTAAACGGTTTTTGGTTAGAATTTAAAGTACTGTGATACAAATTTCAATTTTAGTTTATATTTGTTTTATACATGCATGTACTATCACTATACATGCACATATCATTACTAGTTTTGAGTTCATAGTTCATGAAATTCCTCAACCTTGGAGTGATCAAATGACCCTGTTACACATGTTGAGTAAACTTCATGACAAATAACCCCCAACCGACTTGATTCATTTCCATTACACATTGATCTTGCGATTTGGTTGGTTTATCCGTAACATTTTATAATCATGCCTTCTTTATCATAACAACACGAAAAGTAGTGCTAATCTTCTTGAGCAGACATCGGCTCGGCTCGTTGATTAGTATTCTTTTCAAACTTTCTATTTCTAATATACATCTAATATCTTTTGTAATTCTGATGTGACGCGTTTATAAGCTAGGTTTCTCATTTCTTTATTGTTTTGAGATAACGATGATGGATATACACATCCCTACAATAGATTACTGGAAGTAACAAAAATGAAAGTATCATTTTTGTTATTTGATCCATAGATTCTTACAAAAATTCACATACATAATAATTCTATTTTCCAGTAATATATTGGAGGGAAATGCTATGATTACGGCATATTATGGAATTATTACTTGATAGTAATGCATTCTATGGTGATCTTCACAAATCTAAAGTGAACTAAAAAAATGGAATCGAATATTCATCCCTTGTAATGAATGTACTGATTTTCAAAAGAATAAATACTGCGATAGGTGTTTAGTTCACAATATTCATGATTATGGTAAATGTTACGCTTGTCAAAAAAATGAGTACTTGTATCAAACGAATTTATAAAGATTATTTGTCTAGTGAAGATAAAGATATCGACAATCTAATAAAAGAATGCAACAACATTAAATATTATAAATTATTCGAATGGATTCCTTTTGCAAAAGGAGGTTTTGGGTCAATTTATAAAGCAATCTGGTTGGATGGACCATTTTCCAAGTGGGATCATGGAGAAAATAAAATTTGAACGACAGGGAGAAAGTTGAAAGCATTACACAATTCAAGGCAAATTACTCAGGAGTTTATACAGGAGGTAAAAATGACTGATAAAATCAAATTTTTCAAAAATAGATTCAGACTGCTCTTATGATATCTTCAATATTATGGAATAACTAAAACCCAGCTACAAGAGAATATTTAATAATGATAATTTATGCAAAAAAATGGTGATCTCCGTAAATATATTAATTCCAATTACGAAAAATTGACTTGGGGCCAAAAATTAACTTCTTTACATTATATCATCAGTAATCTTACAAAAATTCACAAAGAAGTTTTTTACATCGTGACTTTCATCCGGGAAGTATATTAATGAAAGATGATGATAATATATGTACTCCTCAAATTGCTGACTTTGGACTTAGTACATGTATTCCAAAAAATATAACCAAGAAATTTTGTTGGTACTTCCTTATATGAGTCCAGAGGTGCTAAATGGATAGCCATACACTACCGCTGCAGATGTTTATAGCTTTGAATGATTATGCACGAAACTGTAACAGGTGTACAACCATTCGGTGAAAGCAGTCAGATGAAGGAGTACGACCTACAGTACCAAATAATCTTCCCGAATGGTGCAAATTTATTATTGAAAAATGTTGGGATCCTATTCCAAAAAACAGACCAACTGATAAAATTTTCGATATATCTACATGTATGACGATGAGGATGACGATGGTGATGGCGACAACGATAACGAGTACTCAAACGCAATTTACACCAGTCGAATCTTTACTTCGAAATTAATATCAATCCCAACTGATACAGGTACGCCCAATTGATTTTATATTCGATCAATATGACATTTCGGATTGCTTTTAATATATCACCAATACATGTACAGTTTCAATTTCTTTGTTGCTTATGCATATATTCATTATTTTACATATAATCATTTATATAGTGAACCGGTTTAATACTTCGAATGGTTGTAGTGACAAGATGTATTGAGTGTTCAGTTTATAATGAATGTAGTAAATGTATTTTTATCAAGAATATCATATGATATATATTATATAAATATAAAAAGTAATGAACAGTGAAAAGTTATCATTTTCATGAAACATGACGTATAAGAGTCAGATATGTGTTTGAGATCATATTTCTTTATTCGGACATGCATTTAAAGTTTGTGGTTGGTATTATGCAATCAAGACATTTTTTGATGCTAGTTAAAAAAATCAGTAATTAAAAACTAACATTAATATTTTTCTAACTTCACAAACAAACGTGTAGAACCGTAATATTCGAAATATCAATATGATTTATATTTTGGACTATGATTAGGAGTCATATTAATAATCGCATTAGTATTCGTATTCGCATTAGCAGCAACCAGTTATTTTTTCTTACAATGACGAATAGCGAGTACGAACCTATATTCTAAGCTCTATTGAAAATGCAAAAGTATTCGTTCCCACTCTCCTTTTTATTATAGCCATTATCATGTATCAAGTTCCTTAGCGGTTAATTGTTTCAGAAATAGAGTCCCAACCTTTTTCGATAATAAATTACCATCCATATTCATCTAAAAAGGAGTACCCCACAAATTTCTTGATTACCAAACTCAGGAATAATAGTTTCGCGTGTAAATCACATGTTGGTGAATCACCTGGACGAGGATCACCTGAATCGTGTAATCCCGTGAAAACTGCTCCCGCTCTAGCTAATCCCTTTTTGTGATTCTCTTATTTAATCTTATTACTTTGCGACAAAGATTCAACATCAACGGTCTTTTACTGGGGATCAGAATGGACAACCCGTTTTTTATCTATTTGAACTTTAATGCTTTGACGCCACCCCCACCACCTTTTTTATTTCCCGTTTTTCTTATTTAAAAAAACAGGGGGCTTTTTATCGTTGATTATGGCGCATATCGATATACGAGTAAGACTGATTATGAATCATGAACATTATATAATCACGTGGATTATTTATTTTATTGAGGCAAGCGTTTTCATTAATTCATTGGACTCGGTTCGTAGCAAGCAACTTGACACTTGAAATTTTTGCGTTCATCAAGTGAAAAACTAAGAGATATAAAAAAGATACCAGTTAAGCTCTTGGCAAAATCTTAAGATTATCATATTAAAAATTAAGGAAGGTATTATTTAAAACAAAATTATTTTACGTGCGATCAGATATGCGAAAAGTAAAATTCAAAGACACATGATTTCGTTTTTGTCCCTATAATTTCAAGATTGCTTGGTAATGGGGAGAGCGAATATAATAAATTTACATCCATTAGATTGATGAGCTCAAAGCGAATGAAGTTATAACATGTGCAAAAAACTGAAACCGTGTTTGACAACCATTTCATCCCATAACGGGCAATTGGGCCATCCATCTACCTTGTAATAAAGATATCCCTTTGGTATGTGGGCCCCATAATAGCAAAGAAGTAATAATATCTCTGATCCACATAGTGCTATATAAAGTTTGTTTTCTTGTTCCCTATTCTGTGTAATTTAATAATGCAATCCTTTTCTTTATAGTAAAAATAATATAAAAACTATATATAAGAAATAAATTGGAGATACGTGTATATTGAATCTAATTATTATTTATGAATGGGGATTTAAATGATAAGGGTCGATAGATAGATATAATAGGGTAACACTTGTCTAATATAGAAAGCTATTTTGACTTCCATAAATATAAAACAATAAAACAAAATATCGGAAGGTTCGAGTCAGGATTTATCTGGATCGTTCATCTAATGAGCCAATCATGGAGACCATTAGTATCGAGAAGAATTATTGTTACTTTGCTTGCTCGAGACTTCATTCCAAGACTAATAAAAGAATATATAAAGAATCTCAATTTTTAAATTGTATTACTCAGAAATTTGATAGTTACAAACAAAGCATAAATAAATAATAAATTACCTTGACTGCAGCTTTATAATTAGAATATTCTTTCTATAATACTACTGGAGAATCTTTTGAAAACTTGAAAAATGTTCTAAAAGTTTTTGAAAATTCACATACTTGAATATAATGAGAATATTATGCTTTAAGTAGAAGGATATATAATAATTTTAATTAAGTTATATTTATTTTAGTTTAGATCTTTATTTTATGCTATCTATATTACATTTTATTTTTTGTATTACTTTTTATGAGAATCAATTTCATTCTGAATATACAAATAATCATTATATATTTAATAAATTTAAAATTACACATATTATCACACAGATAATCATCATGTATTTCCTTGTTATTAATTTAAATCATTAATATTTTTAATTAATTTTTATTATTAATTATTTCTTATTTTATTTATTTTTTATTATTATTATTAATATTATTTTTAATTATTATTAATTATAAGTCATTGTTCTTCAGAGATATAAATTAAGTTAGTTATATTTAATCTATATATCTTTTATATTATTAATTTATTTATATTTCATATTTATTTTTTTTCTTATAAATATATTCTTCTTTTCTGTATTTTTATCTTAAATCTGAATACTATTCAAATAATAAAATATAAATATTTATAAATTGAAGTTATTCACTTTATATTTTATCTTATTTATAATTATAAGCAAATAATCTTATATAAAAATCAAAATTATAAAGATATAAATATTATAAATATCAAATCAAAAGTATAATAATATCAAAATTAAAAATATTAAAGTCAAAAATTCAAATCAAAATTAATATAAAAATTTAAATTAACTTTATATAGTCAAAAAAATAAAACTAAGTAAAAGAAAAAGTATTAATATAATTAAAAAAGAATACTGTTATGATGAATTAGTAAGTGGAGTTTTACTTGAATTCACCTTAATGATATAGAGTTGAGAGAGACTGAAATAATTAAGGGATAAAGAGAGAAAAATTAGATTATAATTTTCAATAATGACAAAGATTTCTAAGATCTGTGCCAATATCTACAGATATTATCTTTCAAAGAAGAAATAATAAAAGAAAAGAATAATAAAAATCAAAAGAATTATTATAATTAATTAGTGAAGCCTCTATTAATTAATAAAATTAAAGATTTATGATGATTAATAAGTGAAGCCACTATTAATCAAAGAAAATTATAACTAAAAAATGTAATAATTCATATAAATGAAAATAAAAATAAAAATAATTAATTAAAAAATATAACAATCAATATACATGAAAATATAAATCAAAAATATGGCTTATTTTAAGTAGAGATCTTCTACTGAGATATACTAATATAATTTAAAAAGAAT